TGTGCTCTCTGTTGCAATGAAGATGTACGGCAACTTTGCGTTAATCCTTTATATATAAGAGTAGGAAAAACAAGTTTTGCTATATTTTACATAAATGAAATATACGTGCAAGTGGCGGCAAGTAAACCGCGACATTTAAAATATTACAGAAGACATCCAGCATTACATTTGTACACATGCCAATATTCATTTCATTTTTCCACATTAAACACGGAAATTGCATTTCCATCATGTAATTCACGCGAGGCAATTTTTTTTTTTTAAATACCAAGTAAGAAATGGTACACGGAAGAGCAGGATTGTTTTTTTTTGTAACGCAGCGAGCGGAGAAAATATCTCGGCTAAGGCCGGGGGGGGGACAGGGGAGGAAAAAAAAATGGGTTTTCTTGTGTTCCTTGGCTGGATCTTGTTTTGGCTGCGAGGAATATGCCTTTTGACCTCTTTGTAAACCGGGGCCTTTGGCTGCCATTCTAGAGGGGGCTATTGGCTGGCCCTTCGTCTTATTGTGGTGATTTATCTTCGGGGAATCGACAAATTTTAGTGAAATCTTGGAACTCCCTGCAAAGTTCAGACAAACTCACTTTTGAATGATTGCTAAGGCAAAAAAAAAAGAGAAAAAAATAATGAGAAGTCAGGCAATCTTTAAAAAATTTATGTTTTCATCTTTGTTTATATTATTTTACTCTAAGCTTTAACAAGCTGTCAAAGACATGCAGTGAAGTGGATTTGTACTTATGCAACATTCTAAATGAGTGTATTTATTCCTTTTAATTGTTACAGAATGTTATTTACACTGTTAAAATATTCAATATTTCTTTGGGTATCGGAGGCACCTGTTTTACTACAATAATTCAGAAGAGCTCGCTGTTCTGAGCTATGTTTCTCATCTCTTAGCGTTACGAACGTCAGAGGATTTCCAACCTGAGATCAACATGACGGAGAAGCGTCACCACTGCCCGTTGAAGGGCGTAAGCGAGAGGAGTTGAGCTACACTTTCCATATGCTCCTCCTTTTCCCAATGTCCAACACCAGGTGTGGCTAATTGAGGTGACTGAACACTGAATGTATAAGACAGCTGTTTGCACATGGGCACAGAGAGCCATGCTTATAATAATAATAATTGCTCTCCCTTCACCCAGGAAAGCCTCACCGAGTCTCAAGACTCTTGCCTCAAGAGTTGTCCTGCTGCATTGGGATGTGTGATTCATTTAATTAAATGAATTTAACACGTAGGCTTTCGTGACAAATATCATCCATTGGAGGTTTTTTTTAGGTTACATCTCGTGAATATAACCGTGTCTTTAAACACGCCACCACCCAACACAGCCAGTTAGTAGGTTTGTCCAACACACTGGTGTTGCTGGACTAGTAACGAATTGGCATGTTTTGTTCACGTGACAAACCTTATATTCTTGGTTCTTTCGGTAAAGTTACGTAGAAGGGAAATAATAAAATAATAAAAATATCAAACAATAAAAATGCTCACGACGTTTCGACTGCAACACAAGCAATCATCATCATCATCAGGTGTGAAATCCACAGCAAGAAAAATAAATCTCTTGCTTCTTTCGGTAAAGTCACGTAGAAGGGAAGTAATAAAATTATAAAAATAAAACATAATAAAATAATTATCACGACGTTTCGGCCACAACGCAATTAGCGTTGTGGCCGAATCGAAAATAAAAATAAAATAAAAACAAGAATATGAATCCCTGCAGCCACGACAGCTTTAAATCAGTGACAAACCTTATTAACTTGCTAAGTCGGGTGGTGGCGGGTTAAACGACACATTTATATATTTCCGCGATCTAACCCATAAAAAACCTCGTGTGGTTGCTTTTATGAGCTCTCATCGTACGAGAGGAAACCAGAGTACCAAAAGAAATCCCCTTGCATATGCGCGGACGCAACCCAAAACTGCGCACGGATAAATTCGAGGACCCATTGTTCTAAACGCAATCTCCTGGCCACCGCGGAGCCCAGATCTATGTATAATAACTAGGTGCTGCCAAGCAGTCTCCCATCTAAGTACGAACCAGGCTGTTCTGGTGCTCGGCTTCCAAGATCACGTGACATCGGACGGCGCATTCAGAATGGTCTTGGCCACATTGGCACAGAGCAGATGACATTGTGTCCCCCAAGGAGGCTCGCATTTTTCTCAAGGTCGCGTGAGCGGCGTTCTGCTGACTCCGAAAAACATTTGAAAGGTAAATAATTAGATTTATTTAGCTTAAATAAATATATATAAAACTTCGATTTTTAATAAGTAAATGGCTCTTGAAAAAAATATATATTAAAAAAACACCTTTAATATTATTTTACTCCTACCAAGGCCAGAAGGGAGAGTTATGGATGGGAAAGGAAAACACGAGGCTAACAGGACTCTCCGGATAACCAAACATAACATCGCCTTGTCTGAAGAGTCGCCAAATGCACATTCTGTTCCAAACAATTTGAAATGCGGTGTGCCTGAAGCTTATATGACCTTTATTAAAACGCTTACCACACTTTGACACACACACAAAAAAAACGTCATCATTGTATAAACCTTGAGAGAATATTATTAAACGCTTAAATAAAAAAAAATTATCACTTTTATATGGTGCGGTGTGGCATGCAAGAAAATATGGGGCCTGGGGCACAATTGTTCTCTTGTGTGGAATATTTTTTTTAAAAGGTGTTTGTTGACATATTCTCAGCAGGCTGAAATCCTTTGGACTGCGCGGCTAAACCACCTAAAAGTAGGAAACGCTATCATTTGTTTAAAATTTGTGAATTATGGCCGCAGGACAGAGTGGTCATAAATAGTTGCGTGCAGTAAATTTCTGGATGAATGCCGTTTGCCTAAACAAACACTTTATACGTGTGTTTCTTCAGCCGCAATACAGAGGTTAATAAAAACGGGGCATGCAAAAAACATGAAGAGGTTTTCACTCAACAAGAAAGGAATCGGATGATGTTTGGCCCAGGAGCCGTTCTCAATCCGTTATATATATTCTCAAGCGCATTGCTGCTGCTGCTTCTTTGAAACTGTCATTCTTCACTGCATCTCCTGCGCAGTCGAGCGATATGGCATGCAGAGGGCATGGTTACAGCTGTTGTAGCAAGACTGCTCATGCCACACTGCTGCAACCCGCCAAATAAAATAGCTGTCATCGCCAATGTACTTACGACGTACTTGACGCGAGCCTCCACTAGCGGCTGGCTTGAGGAGAGCGAGCTGGGCTGTCGGGCTGTTTGGTCAGCGGCTTGCAATGTCCGTTCGTGTCCGTTCGGCATGTGGAGGCTTGCGAAGGGGGCAGTGGTGAGGGTTGAATCGGTGGAGGATCATTGGGCTGGGACGATGCAGTGGTGAGGGAGAATCGGTGGAGGATCATTGGGCTGGGACGATGCTGGAGGGGGAGAGGGGAGGTAACGTGGGCTCTCTATCTGCGCATTAACAGACTGGGATTGAAGTTGACAGGGCTGTAGCCGAGCTCGATTTTTCTCCACTCCTCCAGCTGAAAACGGATACAATCGGCCCTTGTCTTCTTCGCCGCGGAGAATGGAAGGGAGCGATGATTCGAGTGGGGGTCGTGGGGTTCGGGGAGCGGGGAGAGAAGGGGGTGCCGGCATTTTAAGGCAGACTTATAGATTTGTTTAGGATTCGTATCTAGGGGTTGTGTCTATTTCCAGCAGGGAAGCCGTAGACGTCTCGTCAAAACAATTTACTTTTTTTTTGCTATGAGCTTCGCGTGAAAATTGTTTTTGTAAATAAATACTTCAGTGCACAGTGCGCACGCTCCGATGAAAATTGTTTATATTGCAAAACGTTTCGTGTAAAAATGTTACTCTATATTTGCATAGGCATATGACATTAATTTATTTTTACTTCTCCGTGAAGCATGATGCTAAAAAAAACCTGTTCCAAATATTTGGGATCAGTTGCTAAAATAACGTTTTAACCCGTGGACACATTCATCAAATTCCAGTAGCTGCAACGGTGAGATTAATTCTGGAATCATTATTTTTAAAATGTTATTTACCAACGATTTTTTTTTAGCAACGCAAAACAGTGAATGGCATTCCTGTTACATAATGTAATGGGCCAGGTGTTTAATGCTCATAGAATAAAAAATGATGGAATTAATCCACGTTCTCCAAAACCACTCCCGTTTTATGTACAACAAAATAAACACGTTTCCTGTGTTTTCGGTAACAAGGTCACATCTTATTATTATTGATATATTTCTTGGAACTTTTTTGCTTTGAACAGCATTTCACATGTGCATAAATAAATAAAAAAGAGTGAGTGAATCATTCTGGTTCAGAGTATGATTTTTTTTAAGTTTGTGCATAATGTTAGGCACGAGTATAGATCTGCAAGGGGTGTTGAATGTTTGTCTTCGCTTCACGTGGTATAGTATACAGCATGTCGCACATCCGACCGTCACTTATCCGCCCTGGGAAAATTAACCGCCCACACCCAGTGCAGCATTTGTGCCGTGTGGTGCAACTGTAATTTTCTTTACACGTTATCACATCTGACCTTTTCACATATCTGACTATGCATCGGTCACCAGCGAGTCGGGTATGCGGATGCTGTACTTGCCTATCGTTCGTCAATTTTATTCCAGAAATGATGTCATATTTTTCGTATGCCTTCAAAATTGTCGGTGCGTTTCATCTTCTCACCAATCTTGATTCACATTTGTATTAAATTATTGTTTTTAAAGTTAGACTAGCCTTGTTAAACATTTACCTTTTTTTAAATATTTATATTCTGTGTACTTAAAATGTTTATGTATCCCAGGTCGCCCTTGCCAAAAAGGCACCATTGTATCATGTGTCTCAAATCGGATTGATTTGATCTCCCAGTTACATAACAACAATTAAAATGTTGACCGACCGATGCATTTAAATTTCAGCTCCAGCATTGTCGTGGCATGCGAACACGTGTGTATGTGTGTGTGTACCAAGCTGAGCATTAAAACTTACTCCGTTGCCCCTGTCTTGTTCAGAAGGCATGAACTGCATGAACAAGGCCCACGGCTGCCAGCACATCTGCATCGAGACGCCCAAGGAGGGAGTGGCATGCGAATGCCGGCCAGGCTTTGAGCTGGCACGGAACAAGCGCGACTGTCTCCGTGAGTCAACAGGACCTTCACCCATTGTGTCCGGCACTCCGCTTGCGTCAATACCTTTTGAAATAGAGGCATAAAACACGGGCCCCGCCGCCGCCACCGCCGCCGCCACGCAGGGGTTGGCGACCGTCGTGACATTTATCGTGGGGGCCCTGCTGCTTTTAGGGGAATTGGTGGTGGTAATAAGGGTGGCAGGGAGGGCAGGGCAGAGCAACCAGTTGGGCTAAGATGGGCGGGTGGAATGAGTTTGGCCCACGCTGAGCTTGGTGGCGTGAGATTGGAGGTTAGGAGAAAGGCAGGCGTGCCTCTGGATCTTGCCGTTCCGATGAGCACGGTTGGCCACGTGCGATGCGAAAGAAGTTCAACATGCATATATACATACAGCAAAAGCTCTCAGTGCACCTGCTAACATATATTCCTGCCAGAGCTTACAAGTATCCGATGGGTTTTTTGGGCTGTTCAGCGTGTCATTCGGCACGATGTCCAAACATTTTGCGAAATGTGCTGGGAGCTCGAAGCTTGCAGTGAGATAACAAAAAATTACATTTTTGTTTAAGCGAAACGTCGAGCATCGTGCCGAACAGCGACAAAAAAACACATCGGTGAGCGGTGCGGCACAACGGTTAAAAATAAAAGAAAATAAGCTACGCAGTAGCTTAGAGTTTCTTGAATTTCACGAAAGGGCATGCATCCCCTTCAAAGAGTGGAATCGACGGAGAAAATGTCTAGGCAGTGCATAATCATTACATTTTATCTCCACTGCCCCTGCTTGCTCTTCCACTTGTCCAGCGAGCTCATCAACCCATCTCCCACCTCCCTACATCCATCTTCCACCCTCTTGGAAAAACTAAATATACGTACTGCATATGCACCATTTGCACCTGAAAGTTATCGTGGACTAGGCGAGGGTTATGGTGTAAACTTCCCTGGGTCTGAACAAGGTGGTTAGCCGTAGCCCGTGGCACATATGTGGCCAGCTCATGCATATGCAGGCCGCAGCAGATATTAAAATGATGTCAGTGATGTTGATGTGTCTGTGGCTTTTAGTCAGCCTGTGAAAACGGGTTATGCAGTGCCACCCCTCACAACGAGAATATTTCAGAAAGTCTATGTTCTTAAGCAGCTCAGGTCCTTTTTAAAGAATCTTGTATCTGCACACTCGCAATGTTCGACATCACATGGCATAACTTCCTCGGCTTGTTTGGCACAGAGCAAGATGGTGTGATATTTGCCATTGAGGTAGAATCAGACAATATGTCAAACACACTTATTCAGACAATATTATACAAACAAAAAAACCTTTCCTTTGAAAGAAATAAAACAGTGTTTCAGCCACCAGTCTACTGCCATCATGGACATATACTTTACAGCAGCATTTGCTTTACAGACAAAACATTGGGCTGGTTTTAAACCTTTCTGGGTCTCGTCAACAGTGATACCCATGATCCTCCATGATGGGCCTCAATATTTTTAAAAAATATAGATATATCAGATGTCTAAAGGTACCGATTTTTTCCTTTTGTGTGTGTGCCATGGGGCTGTGTTTTTAAGTTGCTGATCATCATTGCAACTAAGCACTATCATATACTCAAGCATGACAGCACATACAGAATGAAGTTGCTGGTTCTTCAGCTGAGATAAATGAAGCATTTTCTCCGACGTGATATGATGGCAGAATTGTACAAACATCGTGCAGCAGTTAGAACGAAACAACAAGTTACCGTAACGCATTTATGCACGCCGTGTCAAATTGACCACATATGTTTCTTCTCGTCAATACTCCATCGTGTTTCAATTGGGCGGCGCGGTATTTTCACCGAAACACGGCAACGAACACATGAAAGTTCACACGAATACACTTTCACATTGCACCAGCGGGCTGGGACATAAACAAGCCAACGTGTGCCTGTACAATATGTGAAAGTTACCTCATTTTGTGTCCTCTCTTCTGACGCGTGGTTGCGATGACTGCGGGGGGCATTCGGGTGTGTGCTGGTGGTGGGTGCTGGTGGTGGGTGCTGCTGGTGGGTGCTGGTGGGGGCGATGTGGTGGTGGTGGTGATGGGTGGGGGGGGATGGGTTGGTCCTTTGGCTCTGCAGTGACGTGTAACCACGGCAACGGAGGGTGCCACCATGCTTGTGACGACACGGATGATGGCCCTGTATGCGGCTGCCACCAAAACTACGCACTTCACTCCGACGGGAAGACGTGTATCGGTAAGTGGCACACGGACGCAGGCCACGGGCACACGCCGGCTCTGAGACGCTCTGTCTTTGATGGCGAGAAAGTTCGTTAAAGCAAAAAAAAGCAAACACTGGTCGATTGTTTTGGTTTTTTTCTCTCTTATATTCTCCATTTTATGCCGTATTGACTAACGGCGGATGTTTTTATTGAAATACAGATAACGTAGGCAGAAAGAGAGGAGAGGACAGGGTTTCCGATGCAAGTCAAGGTACAGTCTTATTTAGATACTGGTTTCACCAATCACTGATAAATTGTTAAAAAGATTAAGAAATAAATAATATTTTTTTCTAAATGCGTCTATACCTGTATTTAAAAAAAGATTTCTTGAACGAGATGTAGATGACATGAAAGCTTTTTATCATCTTGGTGCTAGCTGTGTTGGTGGGCAGGACAAGGCCAAGGCTTTTAACAATTGGTAAGGCATAGTTTTTAACCAAAGTCTTTCTTTTCCCAATCAAAGTCTTGTTTACTGACAATGCTGCATCATGCCATACCTCACACTAAAGCTTTACTAAGCCACCTCTCATCCTTGATTCATTGACCAAATCTTAACCAAAATATTTTGTCAGATGAGCCAATCAGCAAATCGGAATGTGCTTTTTTTCGTGGTGAGAGGAAGTCTAGCTTAGGAGATTGTTTCACTTAGTCATGTTAGATTCTTAACATTGCATTAGTTTTATACGCATTACATTATCTCTATTATAGGTAGCGCATGTTTATGTGTGTTTGTTACGATAAGGGTGCCACTAGAATGTACACATATCTTGCGTTTTATGGGATTGGTTATTGTATTTTGTAAATATATCCTAAGGAATAGAGGAATAATAATCTTTATCTGGTGGCATTGGATGCATGATTTGCTAAAGATAATATTTGCTGCTGCTGTTTACCGCTTGTGTTCCATAATCGCGGATAGATTCAGCCACGAGATTTGGCGTTTACACCTTTAGGAATTGCGACAAAAATTACGATTTTCCTTTTTCAACGTTATTTTGTTTGGCACTCCATAAAAAATATGGTGATTTTAAAAATATGATTTTTGCACAAGTTTTAAATAGTTACTCGTTTTATTTTGATTTATCACACAATGCATGTGATGACAAGACTAAACCACAAGTCATTATACGTGGCTAAAGAGACTTTTAACTTTGAAAAAAACAATTGCCAAAATATAATTTCCAGAATAATGTTATGTTTTTTTAAACGGGTCTTTAAAAATAGTGGCACAGTCAGGACTTGCTTTCACTCATTCAAACACTACTTTATGGATTTCACTTTGAATTTGCCTCGTTATTGCAATTATTTTTGTTTTGCTAACTTAAAACAACGGAGGCAACACGCGAATGAATGGAAAATAGAGGTTGCGATCGGCACAGCCAGCCAGGTGCCAAAGCAAATTAGCAAAAGGAAAACAATCTTAGCAAGATGCCCATACAAACCCAAGACTTACCGTTTGTTCGCAACTTTCTGCCTCTTAAACACATTCGGTTAAAAAACCCAGCGACAAAAAATATATGGCAATGACCAATAATTGTTTTCGTGAACGGTTCCTGCTAAATTTCTTGTCGCACGAAGAAATGTTTTCTTTCAAGCGTGCACAGAAAGTTCACGTGTGGTTTTTTTTGTTGTTTGTGCGGTAGCTTTTAAAAAAATATCTTTTAAGGCGGGCGGCTTTCGCCGTGTGTTAAAAAACATTTGCTTAAGTAGGAAGCTTAGCGTAGGATTCCAAGCTCGTTTCTTAAGCCTGAATGTTTTGTGTTTTCTCCAAGCACGGCGGTTTTTTAGCTGAGTAACGCCAACCCCCGCTGCCCACTCATGCAAACCAGTGTGTTTGTTATTTCCTCTTATTTTAAAGTCGCGTATTTTGTTTCTCTCTATGTATTTAATTATTATTTAAAAATTCACAGCATCTGTTGTAGACATCAGAGCGAGTTTTTTTTAATTTTATATATTTTTTTTTCCTAAGGTCACCCTTTCTTTCTTTCCTGCTGTGATTCTCTCTGTACCTACCTCCTCACGGTAACAGCCCCATGGTGCTGATTGCCTGCCTTGTCTCTTGCTGAAACCTCAACCCGTTTTGAGGAATTTGTTTCGGAAGGAAAAAAACGAACAAAAAAAAAACGAATTTGGAACCCCCCCCCCCCCCCAACATAAGAAAAAAAAACATTGTTTTTTAAATTATCAAATTAAATAAATTCAAACGGGTGCAGATGCCTGCGTCCCCTTGCTTATCTCATAACCATTGAGGCTCTCAATTGCAGTCGACACTCTATTTGGGATCAAAAGTACATGTAGCATGCTAGGGGTGTGCCTAGATTGTCTTCGTCACATAATCCACCACTTTTATTAACCGAGTGATAGTTAGGCTAAGGCTAAATTCACCACCGCTCCACCCACCTGACACCCATGCTGATTTGCCTTCCCCTCTCCCCCCCTCACCATTCTCACCTCTTACGCACACGCCCATCGCTCACCTCTTTGCTTCGTACGTACGAGTAAAAAAAAAAGATCGAGTTAAAAGAAATAAAGCTGTGCGATCTTCGCCCACGAAGTCCCACACGCACCCTCTTGTAGACGACATAACGTTATGTAGCTTAACAAAAAGGCAGAAGGAAAACGACAGCGTCTAACTTGTCGTCTCATCAGATGGCTTCCCTCATTCTTGCCCTACATCCTTCACTCTACCCCACCAATGCAAGCATCCCTCCCCTCCACATCACTGTACATAGATGCTTCTTTCAATGTGCGCTAACTGCATGATGTGACCTAGGCTTGGCTTTGACTTCTGCAGCAGTGGCTCATATGCGGTGGGCCTTACATTTTTGTTAGTATTTGTTTTCTCTTTTACAATGATTATTTTTTTTATTTTGTACATGATGATGCTGACATGTCCAGGCATATAATTACAATTCCGGTCTTGCTTGTATATGAGACAGTTTTATTGACTGAATATTTATTTTACTTTAATTGGTCAAGATTGTGAATCTTAAAAACCACTGTGATTGCAAATAAAGTGTTAAGAAAAAATATAAAAGGCAATTTAATCGATGTGATTTAAATTATCACCTGCAGTGTGATTGACTCAAATACCACCTTGGCGTTTTTTGAGTTATCAGACTTTGTGAAATGTTTCAGGCCAAAACGCTGGACTGTTAGCACCTCACAGCACACAGTGCACCCAATTTTTTTTTTGTGTGTGTGACACCGATTTGTGACCTATCGTAATCTTTAAAACACCTTTCCCTTACACTCTTTGCATTCTACATAGGACGGGGGCATTGTTAATTTCTTGGCATGAGTAGTAGGCAATTTGGATCAAAGTTGGCTGTTGAGTGGCATTTCTGCAAAAGACAAGCAGGGCAATCAGTGCTGCTATTAAAGCAACTTTTGTCTAATCCCGCACGATCATTCTTTGTTCTTTTATTATCGTTATATTATGATCATCTTCATCGTCATTATTTAATGCTTTAACTGTGCTGCTTTCAGTCCTCTGCCTCTTTCAGCCTCTTAGTCTGTCAGACTCTCTTAGAACCAAAACTAAAATGCATCCTTGCTTTTGGCTCCTGGCATGCATGCTTGCCCATCGTGTACTGGGCCAGGCCTTAAGCCTAGGCTTTTCCCTTGTAGATCAAACATCATCCATTCACCTTTTATGCATTGTTGTTTATTTATTTTTCATTTTTGAGTTTAATTTGTGCTGGAAGAATTCAGCGCGGCCCTTTTTTTACAGCCATAACATTCTCTAGCACTTAACAACATAGCCCAGCTGCTACATGTACACCAAATTCTGAGGAGGCCCTTTCAAAAAGTTAGCGAAACGTCTTTTAACGTCACAACGTCATTCGACAGCCCGTAAACGGTGAATTCGACGACCTTTTTTTTCTCTCACGACAAAAAAACACCGAATGCGGTGAATCCGACCAAGTCTGCAGCTTAGCGTAACAAATGGGGCCCCTCAGTTTCCTGTTAATTGCTGTTGTGACGTCCGTTTGTGTTTTTAGAAAGGAGTGAGGCTGCTATTGAGAGCACTGAGTTCAATGCCACCTCGGTGGTTGATGTGGACAAGCGGGGAACGCGTCGCCTGCTGATGGGTAAACATCTGCTCCCGGCATCGCGAGATGTCCTGGCCAAGGGTTTTCCATGCACCGTTCTGTCTCTTGCCCCAAACCTTCCTCTACTCGTGTGTTTCCCCCCCCCACCCCCCCGCTTTGTTTGGTGTTGTCTCTCAAACAGTTTTGTTTTAATGCGGTTTTCTTTTCACTGTTTTGTTTCTGTTCGTTCGTCTGATTTCCCCCCCCTCCCTGCCCACTCCCCACCCCCCTCCCCCCTCCTACACCTTCAAGAATTTCTTTATTTTACAGGACTAATCATGCCAGCATAAACAAAACAAAAATGAAGAAAAAATGAAGACTTACTTTAAACAAAAATTTAATGACAGGCTCGTGAAATCCTAAAGAGTCTTATGGAGAATATACGCAGAGGCTGTGTGCTTTCTGGAGGAGCTGTTTCGACTGCCAATCTGTGCTCAAAAGTTCACATTTCTAGTTCAATGGCTACACCAGGAAACATTGCGTTTGTGTAAAGGCAATGGAAGCATTGATTGATTTTATCCCACGGCAAAAATTACAAAAGATCAGAAATATTGACAACGCGTCTTTTATTCAATCACAATGTTGACATTTTCACACATTACTTCAAATCGTAGATTGGGCTGTCATGTTAACAAAATACATTTTTAAATCGACGAAAGTCTTGCGTTCACGTATATACTAAACAGTGAACGCAAATTAAAATCAAACGTGTCCAGCCGTTCTCTATCCACCAATGGGTGAAGACCTGACATCCCTTACCGCTGGTGTTAGCCATCGACGGGAATTCAACAGCGGGTGCATAGCACAGTGCACTAACCGCTCTACCATTACTCCTCCCTCATTGGAAGTAAAGTGGCATTAATTCAATATGTCTATGAGTAAAGAAGACTCAAAGCCTGCAAGCGGTAGCCATTTAGACTGAGCAAACATTGTGAGCCTACATGATAGTTCCTCGCATGATCATGGCCAGCACAACGATGAATTAATGACCCCAGTTTAGAATGCAAAGTTGCAGCAAAGGGTGCGTGCGCCCTTTGCCATAATTGTTAGAACATGACAGGCCAGGGAAATCAATTTTAATATTGTGCGAAGCATCACATATTTATTCAATATGTTCGACAAATCCTAAAAATAACAATACCAGGCCCCTTAAAAATTATAGCCGTGGGGAGCGGCTGCTGATGGATTCTGGCAGGGAAGACCGCAGCTGGGGGAGAGTAATGCGCGAGTTGGCCTCGACAAATCACAAAGGGGTGAAACGCCACGGCTCTGCGTCTGTGGAACTGGCAAGCGCCTGCACCCTTCTGCGTCTCTGAGCTTTCCCAGCACGAGAGATGGCCCGAAGCATCCGCAACCGCGACTCCCTGCAAATAGCCGCAGATCAATTCGCAAGCCAACGGCGGCGAGGAATTAAAAACAAAAATCAGCTTTGCGTGCTTTGCGGGGAAAACATGGACATTGTGCACCAATAGACGCATCTTAAAGAGATTGTATACGTAGTGCCAGTGATTACTGAATAATGTAATAATGTGATAGTTATAACGACAGTTTCCAATGCGTCGCAACATGGCCAAGCCGTTAGAAGGCTGCTGAGCAAACAACCAAATGTATGGTCACCCATTGTCAATCCACTGCTGGATGGAAGCCTCCCCCATGGAAGCCTCCCCATGCCATGTTCATCATGGGGGTTGTTTGACCATTCTTCGCCACGCTGGTCAGTGCGTGTTGGTGAAGGCGTGGAGCACAAATTAGTACAACACAGAAGTACAGTACAACAATCGTTTTTGTTATATCGTCCTGTTATTTCAAGTACGTATAATTTTAGATATTTGTCAATCATATTCTGGATAAATGATTGATCCGCACATTGTGTCAATCATGGAGGTTGTTTGACCATACTTCACCATGCTGGTCAGCAGTAGTGGTGGGTAGTGTAAAGGCTGGTACAGATGTTAACTCGCCACTGATGATATCCATAGCTGCGAATCAAACTCAGGCCACCGGATTTATAGCACACAAAGAGACGTTTATGCCACGTTACTTTCTTTGCCTAATCATTGATTTGAATATTAATACATTTCATACATTAACCCTTACAGGCTAACACACAATTACAATTTAATTTATTTCTAATTTGAATGATTTGTTTTGCAAAGGGAAACCTTCTACAGCAAAATGCACATTTTGTGGCCTTTAACATTTTTATCTTATAATTTTCTGCTGTGTTTTAATTCAGATTTTTCTCTCTAAAGAGACACAGATGACATCAGGGATTATCTTTTTTAAATACTTGGTCACGCCACTGATTTGTTGCAGACCCCATTGGCCCAGTACCACTATGAGAGATGCAGGTCATTTGGACACGATATGAAATCCATTTCTTCGCATTGTAACGGGCATCCTTCCAATCATTGAAATGATCTCATCCGAAACTCAACACACTAATAAGTACAACAAATGTAATCGGTTTCCTACATGAAAGTTAACTAAACATCTGAAATAAGTTGAAATCAAGACCTCTTGCTTTGTGGAATTCTAAACATTTTTTCCACAATTTGTCTTGGGGGCAAATATCTGGTCTGTGCATCCCTCCTGAGCCCAAATCCATGCCATTCCAGAATAAGAATTTTATCCGCAACATCTTTCATTCCGATAAGGATTGCAGAGTTCTGCAAGCTCACCTCAAACTACAATTCAGCATATCCCACGGTAATTCTTACATTGACCACAATCACTCCTTCACTTGACGGTGAATCAATAAGCATCCTCGGGGTCGTCACACCAGGAATGTTTCCTGTTCAAGAACATGATCTGGTTCCCCAAGGAGACAATATCCAGAAACTCCTCTCCTCCGATAGATATTTTACAATATAATTTCGTAAAAGCTGGTGGAATGCATTGCTTTAATCTTGTAATTGAGTTTCAATTCAACTTAGAGTACTCTTTTGTATAGCCCAAACCCTTTCCATTCATAAAAAAACTATATTTTTCAAAAGCACAGAGTGTTTACATTATTTGCAACTGCTCAAATTTTTAATGTTCATTTTGCAAACTCTGCTTACCTACAAAATATTTCTCTGAACACAATCTGGTGCACGAGTCCAGATAGGTGAAAGTGTGCACCACATAGCTTTGAAAATATTGTAAACAAAGTCTAAATTCTTCAGGGAAGATTATCCTCACTTTGTTTCAACATTAATTATTTTCATGCCGATTTCAACGACAGAGCCATTCGTTTGCGATTGGCGTTGAGTGGTCGTGGCCCATTGGTGCACACATTGTGCTACGAACTCAGCAGTTTGCCTCGAACAATTCGCGGCCACAGCTAACATCAGTGGTTAGTGATATCTGAACTGATGCGAGCAGGCCACCCTCTTCAGCAATCCGCACTAACCACCATGGTAAAGTACAGTGCAACAAATCCCACAGCGTGTGGAGGATTTCGTCCAGACATGGATTGACAATGGGCTGTAAATTCTTCTTCTTATATGAGATAGCCTCATATTGTAGTATATGTATATAAATTATTCACGAAGACCTTAGAGAACCGTTTAAATAATAATTTAGAAGCCAGCCAATCGCATGAGCTTGCTGGTTTTAGAAAATAAATTGCTTTTATACTATAAATCAGATTCTGGACAAGACTTAATGAATATTAATGAAGAGCCGAAGGACCTCTCATAGCCTGAGGCCTTGATAAAAAAATTATATAGAAAGTATTGCAACCCTTTTTAGAGATTGAATAGTTCCACTGGGATTGAATGAAGAAGGCAACAAAATACAAATTAAAAAAAAGGAGTCGGGCAAGAAGACACACTCTCACTGGGGATATTCACTACCACAAAAGATATAAAGAAATTGACCGATAAAAGAAATGCGATGAACAGAAATTAAGTATTTCCATCTCAAATCCGCCCGTGACATAGACGCAGGCTTTTTTTCAGCTGGTAAGGCCCACTGAGCTGAGCAACTTTTTTTTAACAAGACAGCCAGCCAAAGACCAATGCATATGAACGACAGAAAATGATTGCACAACCTTAAACAAGAAGGCTGCGATGTTGGGCTAAGGATAAGTATTAATAAAGCAAAAGTCGCGGACAATAAGTTCGCCAAACACAAGAAAAAATTGATTGGAGGGACTCAACTGGAAAACACAACTGAGTCTAAAGTCACGTAGAAGGGAAGTAATAAAATAATAAAAATAAAACATAATAAAATAATGTTTTATTTTTATTTTTATTATTATTATTTTATTACTTTCCTTCTACGTGACTTTACCGAAAGAACCAAGAAGTTGAATCCCTGCAGTCACGAAAGCTTTAAATCGAAATACAACTGAGTGTGTATACCTCGGGCAATTATTTGAATGCGGACCAGAATCAAAAGTATGAAATGAAGAGGCAATGTAGACTAAGTTAGAGAACTTTTGTTAAAACCGAATTTGATTATGAAAAGCAAATTACCAATATTTCTAAAGAGTAAAGTCTCAATCGGTGCCTCGTACCTGCCGTGACATATGGATCAGACACATGGACTCTGGCAAAGGACAGGAATATTGAACGAAAGTTGAAAAGTGCACAAAGAAATATGGAGAGGTGGATGCTTGGAATTGAAACTGCGAGAGAAATGAGAGGAAGACATAGGTCGTAGAACACACACATTTTTGAGACATCGTAGTGACCATTAAGAAAAGCGAGTGGGCCTGAGCAGGACACATTCAGAGAAGGGGACATGGTGATGGAATGGCACCCAAAGGAGGCAACAACTCCCGAGATGAAGGCCAACGCTGGTGATGGAGAAATGAGATCAGTTCATTCGCAGGATTGCGGGATTGCGGGATTGTGAGAGGCGTTCATCCTGCAGCAGTGGATAGATCATGGCTGACGATGATGATGACGACAACGATGATGACGATCGTGATTTCACGGTGGTGTTGACGCAACAAAAATAGTAACGAGGAATTTCATCTTAGTTATTTGCAATCTACTTTATATATTTTT